AAAGAAAGAAAGAAAGAAAGAAAGAAAGAAAGAAAGAAAGAAAGAAATCTGGGCTTGACTGTGCATGCCTGTAACCCTAGCTTATGGTAGGGTTGAGTCAGGTGGATTCTGGGAGCTCAGTGGCCAGCCAGTCTAGCCAAAATAAGCAGATTCTGGTTCAGTGAGAGACTGTATTAAAGAAATAAGGAAGACGGGTATAGAGGAAGACACTCAAGTGTCCTTCTGAACCTCCAAATGTTGGTATACAACACAAAGGTATACAACACACATTGTAACTAACACAACATATACACATACATGCACACAAAATATTACATTAAAATTTTTTTGGTTGTTTGAGACAGTTTCTCTGTGTAGTCTTGGCTGTCCTAGACTCACATTGAATTCCAGGCTGGCCTCAAACACATAGAGACCCTCTGCCTCTGCCTCTGCCTCCTGAGTACTGGGATTAAAGGCATGCCACCACACCCGGCTTCATTTTTTTTAATTAAATGAGTTACTGAGAAATAGATGACAGATGTAAATTAAGTTGTACCCATGTTAAAGAAGAAATTATAGAAAACCATTGTTTTTTGGTTAGGCTCCTACACCATGTCTCAACAGACTAGGCTAAAAATAAAAATGGAGTCATTCATACTAAGGGTCCACGTCACCAAGCTGAAATTAAACTGTTTATCTGAATTTCCGAGAAGTCAGGATTAGAAAATAGCAGCCAGCTTTCCCAAACAAACCAAATTCAATTGACATAATAATGTTCCATCTGCCTTAACCCAAACACAAAAATGGTAACACGATGTTAACTGTTGGTTCTCTGTAACTACTTTATACTGAAAATAACTGGGAAGTGACCCCAACCTGCTTGTTGTTTCTGTTTCTACTCTCTTCTGTCCTTTTCTATGAAGCCAACCTCTTGTTCTAGGTTTTGGTTTTTGTTATGTTTTGTTTTTGAATCTTCTTACATAGCTCTTAAGTTCATGATCCTCCTATCTCTGCCTCACTAGGGCTGGGACAGATATGTGTCATCACATAGCAGTTTATATATAGATATATATGCCTGCCTCAGCTTTCTCTACCCCGGCCCTCTCTCTCTCTCTCTCTCTTTCCAAGACAGGGTTTCTCTGTATAGCCTTGACTGTCCTGGACTTGCTTTGTAGACCAGGCTGGCCTTGAACTGACAGAGCTCCTCCTGCCTCTGCCTCCTGAGTGCTGGGATTTAGTTTTGTTTTGGTCTTTATGTATTTATGTATTCATTATGTGTGACTGTACAAGTTTAGATCAAAAGACAGCTTGTAGGACTCTGTTCTCTTTCACCCTTTCAGGTGAGTTCCATGGATCAAACTCAAGTCATCAGGCATGGCAACAGGAGTTTTAACCAGCTGAGCCATCTCCTTGAACCTTATTTTGATTTGGGGGACACTGTTGTCCTAGAACTCACTAAGTGTGGCAGGCTGGCCTTGAGCTCAAGGAGATCCTCTTGCCTTCATCCTCCTGAGGGCTGGGATAGCAGGCACATACCCCATGCTTAGCTAGGAACTCCACTTTAGATATAAGTTCACAAAGCAAAAACAGGTAAAAGGATGGGAAATATATTCCATACAAATTATTACCAAGAATAGCTGGAGCTGAGCCCAGAGCAGTGGCGCATGCCTGTGATTCCAGCACGCAGTGGCAGAGGCAGGTGGATCTCTGTGAGTTCCAGGCCAACCTGGTCTACAGAGAGTCCTAGAGAAGCCAGAGCTACACAGAGGAACTCTGTCCGTCTTGAAAAACCAAAATCATCATCACCACCACCACCAGGTTGTGGAGATGGCTCAGAGGTTAAGAGCCCTGCTTGCTCTTCCAAAGGTCCTGAGTTCAATTCCCACATAGTGGCTCACAAACATCTATAAATATATCTGTTGTGCAGGCGTACATGCAGGCAAAATAAATATATAAATCTTACAAAAAAAAAAAAAAAAAAAGCACTGGCTACTCTTCCAAAAGACCCAGGTT